CACACTTTTGAGAAGTGGAGTACCTTACCTTTTCCATGCTGAGGCACTATTTCCCTCCAACAATTAGTGTCAAAAGTCACTTCACAAAGCAAAGCAGTGGCATTTCACCCTGATATATCATATAATTAAACACCACATGCAAATAGATGAGCTGAAATATGCAGCTGTCTTAAGATGCTTATAGATAATTTGCAGATTGATCCAGAAAAACACAAATTTCTGCAGCTTCAGTATTTATGTATATAAATACTATAAACATACACAAACAGAGTCTAAACATATTTGCTCTCTCTCTCTCTCTTTCTCTCTCTCTCTCTCTCTCTTTGTGTGTGTGTGTGTGTGTTTGTGTGTGTATCAGAGATATTCCCCAAGTAACAAGAGCGAGTAGCACAGTGAAATTAATTATTTATCAATAGATAAGAGTAAAAATTAGCCAAAATCATTTTGCCTACCCTCCTATATACATTTAATTCCCAAAGAGATTGGAAATTCTTAAATAATTGTCTTTGGTGTTTTAATATTCAGAGATATAAGTTATATAAGATGCTCAAAAGGAGGAGCTCTTTTGTCTCACTTTAGTGAGAACCTGGATGGCACCGACTAAAATCATTGATGGCAAAAGTAATGGCAGCAGTTTCTCTCTTGCATCGGTGTAGACATTCACTCTCTACTCAGTCTAACATGGCTTAGAAATTGCAATAAGGGTTCATATTAATCATGCAAGCAAGAGGCTTGCTTCACCCTTCCCAAATTGTGCTGATAAACATTTTCAGAGGACTCCAGGCTTCCGCAATTCCTTCCCTTCTGTCATTTTTATTTGGTTTGTTTCTCTCTTTGTTTTTGTTTTTCCCTTCCAAATTCAGATATCCTTTCTTCAGATGGAGTTCCCATTCAAAGAAATTCATCATTGAGGAAAGTCAAAGGGAGCATTAGTCCCATATCCGTATGATCCAGAGTTGTGGTGGCATAGTAGTCAGAATGCAGCACTGCAGGCCAACTCATTGCTCACTCCAGGAGTTTGATCCTGAGCGGCGCAAGGATGACTCAGCCATCCATCCTTCCAAGGTTGGTAAAATGAGGACCCAGATAATTGGGGGGGGCAATATGGTGACTCTGTAAACCACTTAGAGAGGGCTGGAAAGCACTATGAAGTGGTATATAAGTCTAAGTGCTATTGCTATCAAACAGTAATTGCCTGCTCTATAAAACAGCCTCTTCCTTGAGATACAGTTGGCCCTGACTCTAATGATCTTTCAGAAGGCCATAAAGATCAGGCTTTTCCTCCAGGCACTGCAGCTTGGACGTTAATTATAGGGCTTGGATAGATGGATGGATGGATGGATCACACATTGCTCCTAGAAGCACGAAGCCGAAAACACCAGCCTGAAGATGACGAATGGGACTTCGTCGAAACGTCACCAAGACACTTCCAATTTTACGCGGGAGAAAACCCGAATAACCAAAGACCTACATACAAACACCCGCGAAAACCTCAGAAAATATATATATATATAGAGAGAGAGAGAGAGAGGGAGAGAGAGAGAGAGAGACAGACAGACAGACAGACAGACAGACAGTAAAGTAACTTACTTTTGGCAAGTATTAGCTTTAATCATAAGGAATAACCATAGAGAGCTGCATTATAAAACAACAAGTTAAATTCATCACTTTATTATAGATAAACAAATTTATTGAAATCTGCTTACAGAGGTTTGCTTTTACACTGCTTCTTGACATGGTTGAATTGCTTGTGAAACCAGAAGATGATTACAAGTTTGGTAATTTTCTACAGTGCAAAATGGTGTCAGAACAGCAGTGACATTTTACAACTGCAGACTTGTAATGTTTTTGTAGGTAAAAACAAATTCATACGGTTAAATGAAAAAAGTTTGTTCTAGTTTTATGTGCATTCAAAGTGATTTCTCAAATTTAATTAAGAATGTGCAGAGCGGGGAAGGAAATCATCCATTCGTCCTATGCATTGATATTGTTAAAATAATTTAATGTATTGTGACAGAATAGTAATAGTAAAAGTGACTTTATCAAACCTCATTTTCTTAATATCTATTTACTGCATTTTTAAATTGAACGTTTTCAGAACCAGTCTCAATTCCTTTGGTGTTGTTAAATTGTGTAGAAAGTAAAGAAGATGACCTTGATGGAGATATGTTCCATTCACTGCTCAGGTGTTAAGAAATGAAAAATACTTCATTTCCACAACAAGTAGATAATGTTTGTAAGCAACTCATATAGACATCTTTCTAATTCACTAAAATATAAGAAGGGAGATAAGGTACAACACAGTTTTACTTGCAAGACTATTATTATAACCAGTCTCAATACAAGTAGTTTTAGCCTTCCTGTTGGGTTGATTTCTTGATCTGGTCTATCTAATGGGGCTGACATGTTGCTCATAGGGGAAAGGAAATATGAAGATAGCAATAGAAATAGCACTTATATACTTTATTGCCCTCTCTAAATGGTTTACAGAATCAGCATATTGCCTCCAACAATTTGGGTCCTCACATCAACGACCTTGGAAAGATGGAAGGTTGAGTCAACCTGTCAGGATCAAATTCCTGACTGTGGGCAGAATTAGCTTACAATATTGCTTTCAACCACTGCACCACCACAGCTCTAATGAAGATAATAATTTGTTCTTAGATATCCTCATCTGAGGATATTTAATTGAAAATTCTTACATGCTACTCCTCATAGCACCCAAGAATAGCTATAGATTATTGCTTTGTCCTTGTTATCTCTTCAGGGCTGGCTTCCCTGTCCATTTTCCATTAGTATCATTGAACCATGGATAATGAATATTTTCAGCTAGATATAAAGTCTAAGCAATATCATTCACAATCTTTTGTATAGTCAATTTGGTCTTGTGTATGTTGTTTTTTTTATAAGTCTATAGTGCCATCCAATATACTCATTTAATGCTTTTCTCTCTCTTGTCTTTCTTCAAATATGTAAAGTGAGACTTTAGGATGAGAGTTCTAAGTTTTAGTAATTTTATGGAACTCTTGAACTTGATCATGGGATAACCTCCTAAATATCACTTTTCAGGCTGCAGTATAAGATTTTTTTTTAAAAAAAGTGTGATTCATTTATAATTTCCCTTCCATTTCTGTAGTATATGCTAACTTTTACTGTGAGTTTTAGATCACATCACTTGTCATGTAAAATAGCATACAGAACTACCCTTCTGAAGATAATTGTTTGGATCATTCCACAGACACAGTATAAAAGACAAACATGGTCTTAGGAATTGTTGTCAAGGTTAGAAATGACTTATGGTCAAAATCAGGCTCAAGAGTATAACGTTAACAATAATAATAAAGTTGGAAGGGACCTTGGAGATCATCTAGTCCAGTGGTTCTCAACCTTTCTAATGCCGCGACCCCATAATACAGTTCCCCATGTTGTGGTGACCCCCAACCACTTATACATCACCGGGTGCCAGGGGCGTGGCCAAAGAAAAGGGGGAAAAATGGCAGACAGCCTTGTTTGGCGACCCGTGAAATGGTCGTTTGACCCCAAATGGGGTCCCGACCCACAGGTTGAGAACCACTGATCTAGTCCAACCCCCTGCTCAGGCAGGAAACCCTATACCATTTCAGACAAAAGATTGTCCGACCTCTTAAAAACCTCCAGTGTTAGAGCATTCACAGCTTCTGGAGGCAGGTTGTTCCACTGATTAATTGTTTTAACTGTCAGGAAATTTCTCCTTAGTTCTAAGTTGCTTCTCTCCTTGGTTAGTTTCCATCTGTTGCTTCTTGTCCTGCCTTCAGGTGCTTTGGAGAATAGCTTGACTCCCTCTTCTTTGTGACAGCCTCTGAGATATTGGAACACTGCTATCATGTCTCCCCTCATCCTTCTACCCTTTGTTCTACACATTGTCACATCTTGAATACCATTGTGTAATGAAATGACTTTGTTATCTAAGAGTTAACAGACTTGGAACACAGAGATGAAAAGCCAAAAATTTAAAGGAAAGTGAAAAATATAGTTATCTTGGTGAGCTACTTTCTGATGTGAATCAATTTCTCTGTCTAGTCAAACACTCATTAGCTTAGATACAAATGAAAGAGAGAATTATTTTATTCAAGAAGCTGAATTTTTAGAAAGAAATATAAGAAGCATACAAGGCTCATATGTCATATAAATGGCCCTCTAGTTAAAATTGCATCATTCAGTGTTTAATATATTAGTTACCACTATGAGAAAACAAAACCATTACAGAGAAGCACATTTCTGGAAGACTTAAACTAACATCATTAAAATGCAATTAAATATGACAAGCCTTGTATCTATGGAAGAATGATAGAATTTATTATCATAATGCATAGTAACAGTCCTCACAAGAATGAGGTAATTTGACAAATAGGTTACTCTCTGAGAATTTCTTAAGTCGATATTAAGAACATTGTCTTCTGAGTAAACTGCTAGAATATGAATGATAATGCAATACAAGTGATAAATAACTTGTTTCATAATGCCCAAACTAATTCACTGGCAGTCTAATTTAGAAGTTCAAGTAACTGAACTCAGTATCAATAACAAGATTATTCAGCTAAATGTTTTTGTAGGCCAAATATTGGTCCATTACTTGATTTCCCCATTCAAGATTTGACAGCAGATTTTTTATGTACAATGTTATATTTTATGTCCAATAAGTAATAGTTGTTATAATGTATGAGAAATTACCTGCCCAAATTATGAAGTGGATTTCTTAGGATGCTAGAAAGTGTTATGAAAATACATTTTTCTTTATCCTTCATGAAAGCCTTGAATTTGGCTTGAGGGAGTTCATTCTAGTCTGTACAAATAATTCTTTCTTTCCTTCATTTCTTCCTTGAATTTCAAGTTCTAGTGATATTTGGCAAGTTTTTATTTAAACAAGAATTGTAGAAAATGACTACCCCACAATTAATCATGTTGCTGACTTAGATAAATCACTTAACATTCATTAGTTTAATATTTTTCTCTTTGAACAGGATTTTGCCAAATCTGTGGTTAGGAAGTTGCCCTCGTCAAGTGGAACATGTGACTATCAAACTTAAACATGAGTTGGGCATTACAGCTATAATGAATTTCCAGACTGAATGGGACGTGGTTCAGAATTCCTGGGGATGCAACCGCTATCCAGAACCAATGAGCCCAGAAGTTCTCATGAAATTGTACAAAGAGGAAGGCCTTGCTTATGTCTGGATGCCAACACCAGACATGAGTACTGAAGGTAATATTCACATTCCATCCCTAGGAAAGCATCCATTCAACGATATAGTTGAATAGTGTAACTTTACAAATTTACTTGGATGTTTGCATTATGGTACTCATAGCTAATTATGTATTGTGTATTCTTAGAATATAATAAATATTCAGCAATAGTTAAAGAAAATACCTGTTTTTATGCTAGAGATTAATAATATGGTGTTGTTTGTAAAGATAAGAAAACCATGTTTACTCAAAAGGCTATAATTAATTTCTATCAGTGCTACTAAAAGTGTATAATTATTTAATTGATATATATATATAAATATGTGGAGCGGCATGGTTTCCTAGTGGTAAAGATGCTTGTCTCCCACTCAGAAAGTTGAGAGTTCAATCCTGGGTAGCAACAGATGTTTCTCTTTTAGGACACAAGGAGAAAATATCTGCTGCAAATTCCATGTAGGTGTCAGAAGAGCATCCGTCCAGTAAACGCTCAGTTCCATCCAGTCACCCTGACTTTACCCTGAATTAAGGGATTACAAGCTCATAAAAATATAAAAATGTAAATGTAAATATAAATAAATGTGGCAGCAAGATGGATCTCAAAAGTAAAATGATTTGTTTCAACACATATATTTTCTTTGCCTTAGGATATTGTCCATAAAACTATCATATAATCATAATTAATTAAGATCATTTAAGTAAAGTCACTTTTGTGCATATGAATTTTGTATTCAAAATTGCATGCTGTAATAAATGCTCTGAAACACTATAATTCTGAGTATTTGTTAGTCAACCAATTAATAGGGTCATAACTACTACTTTTAAGTTTGTAAAATGCTACATGATTAATCAATTTCACTGTACTTTGCTAAAATAACTTTTAAACTAAATCAATATTTTTCCAATAACACTTCTCATGTTTGTAATATTCCAGATAGCAGGATCCAAGAAAGATGTTTATTTATCTATTGCTTAGCAGAAACGTTGTGCTCACATTGTTGAATTAAAATTAAAAAGTAACAAAACAATTAAAATTTAACTGACAGAATAGCCAGGCAATAATTAATAAGATCCCAATAATCAAGAGTAATAAAAAAATAAAAATCAGCAAAATCCATAAAAAAGCCCCAAAAGATAATCAGATGCCCAACTTACCTTCTGAAAAAGTATAGCCTTTATCTGACTATCAAGCTGGAAACTTTTCCTGAATAATTTTAACATTTAATGCCTCTGTTGTAAACCTATTGTTCATATCTCAGTTGAGAAAAAAGAATTGGAGCACTCCTGAAATGACAGTATTAAGGTGGAGAAAGCTTACATATGGCTATTCCCTCTGTGTTTGTTGAATGTTTATCATTTTAAATTAATTAGGCTAGTGTGACCTTTAGACTGAGCACTTTTTCAACAAAACTTTATCCTCTGAAAGTTCCTTGTCCTTGTCTTCAATTAGCTTTATTAAAGTCATGTTTTACAGCCATGTCTGATCATGTCGTAAATGAACTATGAAGAACACAATTTTTGCTGAAACTGTTTCAGTAGAAATAATGATACTCCTTTGAAACTCTATATGTAAACAGAATTTGAGATTTTATATTTTTCATCAGTAGTTTTATAGGAGCAAATAATATGAGGTCCTTTTAGTTCACCACACATTCCTACAGTATTCAAATTCCTCTTTGGGCCATACTAGATGTTGTCCAAAGTTAGAATTAATATTGTTTTGTGTGTATTTAAAGACATTTGAAAAGCAGGCTTTAGAAGTTGCACTAAGCAAAACAACATGGGTGGGAGACTGAACTTTTTCCTGAATCAGCTTTTTATTTTGGCTTTGAATTGTTCCTATTGCTTGGAACTGTGGTTTTAAGTTGATAAAGAGTAACCATGGAAAAACATTACGTGCTATACATTTCCTGCTTTTTCACCATGCGTGTAACCTTTGTTTATGTCACATAGCTGATTACAATGTCTAGACTGGACTTCTTTGGAGGAGATGGTGGTTTAGAAATATAAAATATAAATAAAATAAATAATACATAAATAAATATGGGAATGGCTAGCATAGGGGAAAGGTGTGACAAAAAATGCACAAAGTAGAGATGCTTTCTATAAAACTTGCAGAGGTCATTCTGATCCTGCTCATGCACATAATACATTATTTTTTACTTCCTTCAACTTCGCCAGGCATAATCATTTTTTTTAGTCCATCATCTGCTTGCATCACATGTCAAAAATATATGGGCTTCTGCTTGCTAATAATCAGGTTCAAGGGAGCAGTCATTTTACTTCTTCAAAGACCAATTGATTGGTAATTTTTCTTGCACTCATGTTATTCTAGGTAACTGTTTTCAGATCCATAATTCTTGTATGATCAGCATAGTAAAAAACTTGCTTTATTGAGTAAAGATAAAAACTCATTCATTTAGCTCACTCTGATAAAGTCTCCATCTTATATTACCAATGTGATCTAATATGTCTCTGTCTTTTCTGAAATTTGCCTATTCATTTATCTTTTCTGTTTCCATATATGAGTCTATTCTCCTTTCTAAGATTTTAAGTAAAACTTTCATTCTTGAAGAATTAGTTCAGTGGATGAATAATACGTACTTTCTCCTGCATCTTTCTTGTTCTATATAGGTGTGCACACCAGTCTTTTCCAAGCACCAGGCTACATCATGTTTTCTATCAGTATTGACCTATAGCTGTTGACAAATTTTAAAAATTTCGCTAATCTTTAAAATTTCTTTCATTTTTCTTTTCTTGTTAATTTTTCTGTGTTTGACTTTTTTCCAGTTACTTCTTGTTTGATGTTGAAAATCTGCATTCAGTCATTTTAAATTCTTCTTATTGATCAAAGACTTTTGATCAATAAGAAGAATTTAAAATGACTGAATAAGAAAACAACAACAACAACAACAATAATAATAATATAAGAACAATAAGAAGATGATCAAATGCCGGGAGACGAAAACATATGAAGAACGGTTGCAGGATTTGGGTTTGGCTAGTCTAGAGAAAAGAAGAAATAGGGGGGGGGGACATGATAGCAGTATTCCAATATTTGAGAGGCTGCCATAAAGAGGAGGGGGGTCAACTAATTTTCCAAAGCACCAGAGGGCAGAACAAGAAACAATGGTTGGAAACTAATCAAGGAGAGAAGCAGCCTGGAATTAAGGAGAAACTTCTTAACAGGTAGGAAAATTAACCAGTGGAACAGCTTGCCTTCAGACGTTGGGGGTGCTTCATCACTGGAGGTTTTTAAGAAAAGACTAAACAGTCACTTGTGTGAAATGGTATAGGATCTCCTGCTTGAGCAGGGGGCTAGACTAGAAGACCTCCAAGATCCCTGCCAGCTCTATTCTGATTCTGATTCTTTGTCTTCTGTCTTTCCTTGATCATATGAAAAGTCATTCTGAAAGTCACTTGAATTTCTTTTTTAAATTTTGGGGAATATTTTTGTCTGCTTCGTTTTTCATGTGATGCCTCTTGCTTCTTTTCATAGCCATATCTATTGCCTTCAATCCTGCATGAAAGGCAGATATAAATCCAGAACATCAAAATAAATATTGTGTTCAGACTGTGTGTCCTCCAGCTGCTAGTATATGTTTATCCTTTATTTCTTTGTAAAGCTTATGTCATGTGTCTGATTAACGAAACACTTCAAAGAACCTTCAGGCAATTTTTTAACCTAAAAAGCCTTTATTAGTGTTACAGAAATGTCAGCACAGCATGGTGGAAATGCTAAGATATGAATTTCCCTTCCTTTGCACATAACATTCCAGGCATTTCCCCTCCCCTATTTTGGGGTCATGATTCACATCTTCTAATTAACTTGGAGGGCAAAGATTTACTTCTGTTTCTTTTTCCGGGCTTTCCTTATATTCTCCTCCCCTTTCGCTGTCACCTGATTTAACTCTAAAAATACCAGACAGTTCTGCATATATTGTTAAGCAAGAATATTCAATATTAGCAGCGTTGACAGCTTAACCTTTATTTTGGACACCAAAATTCATTCTACACTTAGAAGTGTTGTGGCTATTTGGATTGCATTTATCCATCTTCAGTTTCCATTAAGTAACTTGATTGTGATATTGTCCAATCTGGTGTTGTCCATTCATAAAGCTTGCATGTATGTTGGCTAAAGCAGGTTTTGACAAAATGAACGAAGAATTCTCTCTGTAAAATTCTATTAACCCTTTTCCTATTCTGATGCATTTTCCAATTCAAATCCTCCTAATTCCAAGTATCTCTTTTTCTCCAACTTTGTCCATCCAACCACCCCATTAATGGATTACATTCTTTCTATCATTTTGTTTATCACTTCCTACATTTTTCCATATAATTTGTGTCCTCTGCCATTACAGCCATACTAGGTGCATAGAACTTATTTAAAGCTGGTGCTCATTGAATAGTCACTAATTCTAATAGATATGGTTCTCTTTATTAATTTATAGGCAACCATATACTTAGCATTGTACTTTTGGAGAATTATTGCCACTCCAACTGTTTTGCATATGCTCTTGCTCTGAATATCACATAAACTTCTGATTTAAAATAACCCATTCTGCTCCACTTAAACTGCATTTATTCCTAAAATACTGCATGTAATATATTAACATCCCTGCTTTAATATTTCTAGAATTCCTTGATTTACGCATTTAAAATTCCATATTCTCATTGTTTTTTGCTTTGGAAAATCACTTCTTTCTCAACACCAATAACATTAGTGACCAGATTTCCATGTAGCTTTGTGCTGTGTGCATTTTATCACCTCGTTATCATTTTTCTTCATTAGCTACAGGAAAGTTTTCTAGTCTAGGGAGGAATCTCAGCATCTGACATCCAACTTGTAGAGCCCTTTATACAAATACAGTGCAACAAGATAAAAGTATCTTGCTATCTTTTTTATTATTATTTTGGAGTTTTTATCCTAACGTTCATTATCGGTATACAGCCCCACCTTTCACCTCCTTTGGTGTGGATTACTCTTTGGTCCACCCCTCCCCTCTTGAGGTTACTCCAGCA